TGTTTCACACCTACGGAAAATTGGAGGGGTGAATGAGCACTGCAGGCTTACTGTCAATCCACTGCTTTGGAAAGGGCTTCAGAAAGGAAACTTCCAAACAATAACGAAAAGCCAACTCAAATAACAAGTAGAAACACCACAGAAACACACACATGCAGGTAAATGCTTTGGAGCAGGGGAGGACACTCAGACAGACCGTGTGCCTGGGCTGGTTTGAGCTCTGGCTGTTCTATTTTAAATGAAAAAATAACATCAATCTGATACCAGGGAAAGACTCCAATGTGAGCTGTACTCAGTTTCATGGATTATAAACCAGAAGTGTATCTGCTAGTGGATATGACTACCAGATTTCTTGGTTTTCTATGATAACTTTTGGGTAAGTCACCTGGGATTTGGGATAATTGCCTGGAATAGCTCCACAGGTGCATGTGCAAGGACATCAACCACTTTGTCATCAACCTGTGATGGCAGGTCAAACGACATCTAGGATTTGCCCACTATAATAATTTGACTGAGCTGTAACATTTATGTGTTACAGCCCACAATTCCTCTTGGGAATACTCCTGTACAGTAGCCCAAAGCACGGAACAATAACCTGTTTTATCATCTTCTTTTTTTTGCACCCAAGTCAGTTCCTCTACCAACGAGACCACAGAGCACAAGGAAACAGAAGTCTGACATAGCTACTTATAAATATAATTTCACCCCAAATTTCTCTTCCATTCACAGAGGGTCACACAAATAAAATACCTAAATAGCAGCAACTGTGCAATATGTGCTGCTCCTTGAATTACCTTTCAGCTGAAGCAGACATGCTGCTGGGAGCAGTTCCTGGACGTTTTCTACCGTCACATGCACAGTTTCTGTATATACAAAGTCCAGCAGGATTTCCATGGTGGAGGCTGTCAGGCCCTGGATATCCACACAGGGTTTATCTTTCTCTGAGAGCTGCAAATCAGAAGGGAGACACAGCTTTATTTTTCAGTAATGTGATCAGAAATCCCACAGCACTCAGCAGGTTTGAAAATGAGACCTGTCAGAGAGGTTTCAACAGATATTTGTCCTTTCTCTTTTTGGGCTCACTGAAAGAATAAGAGGAAGGAGGGAATTCCCCCTCAGAATTCACTTACAGGATGAGTAAGACAAAGTTCATTATGGATCAGGGGGACAGTCACACTGCACTGTAAAACCTGCCAGCTGAGATCAGAGTGAGCAGAGATTACATGTGTCATCTGTGGAAGACAACTAAACCCTCTCCTCCATGCAGTAACTCCAGCCTCTACTCCAAGGAACAGCCCAGGGGGATTCCTCTCTGGCTGGATGTGTGTGACACCCTGCAGTTCACACGGGGTCCCCACCTCACTGTTACCCTAACTGGCTACAATTTACCTAGTTCTCCTATTAATTAGCTTTCTATCTTCTATTGGTTAATGATTCCTTTGTTTCTTATGCTAATTAGCCCCCTGCTCAGTCTTTCTCTTCCTTTGAGGTGGGAGGAGGGGTAGAGGGGAGATGGGAGGTGGTGTTTGTGGAGCTGGTGGTCCGTGGGTTGGTAGTCAGGATCTGCCCCTGCCGAAATTACCTCCTACCCACCCGGAGCTGATTTCAGCACAGTTGCTGAGTTGGCTTTCTTAGTTTCTTCCTTATCTTGGGGCTCCTGCCAAGTGTCCTTGTGGCCCGGAAATTTGGCATCCCTGTGCCCACTGTCAGCAGCACATCCTTCTGCCCAAGCTCGGGTAACCTCCCCCACGTCTGAGATCACTGCAGCATGTCCAGCCCTAAACGTTAACAAGGCAATTCTACTGACAAGCAATTTTCCTTTCTAACACCTGGACATCATCACCACTCTGCTCTAAAACCAAACAAGTAAAAAGCTTTCTAATCTGGTCGATTCCTCATCCATTCTGCAAGCTTATGGTGAAGGTTCCTAAAAGGAACGACTACAGGCCAGAAAGTTCAGAGTTAAAGGTTAAATGTTAAAGGTTAAAACTCATTATCTTGAATGTTTGAAAGTAAAATGACAATACATGCACTTACACAGTCCAGACTTTGTCCCCTGAGTATTTTATCACTCTATGATTCATTTTGGAATAACTATTTTTTTCCAAGGAATGTCATCCTCTCAATGGTCAATCTTCGGGAACACCAAACTCGCACAAAACTGAGATTGTATTTCACAAAGCTCAGCTTTGTGATTCGGTGCCTCCACCACGGAGCTGCTGGCACAGATCCGGTTAATTCCTGAGCAGTGGAACAGCAGGTGGGCTCAGCAACCACACCCTGCACATCACTGACCTCAGCAGGTGGTGATTGATACACTGCAAACCCAATCCCACTTCTGAAGCACCAGGGTCAGCAGATGAAAGCCCGTGGCTTCTCTGGCCAGGAATGAGCCCAAAGCTGGTACAGCCAGTTGGGCAGAGACTCAGGAGGCAGAAAGCGTGGTCAAAGCATGATCCCTGGGCATTGGATCTGCCACAGCTGGGGAAAAAGGAGGTGATCCAGAAGTAGAGAAGGGAAGGGATGTCTGCTGGGACTGAGCAGCAGATGTGATGCAGACATGCACTTGCAGCAGAGAAGAGAAGAGCAGGAGGTAATGGTGAACCTCGAAGTAATTTGAGGGAAGAGGCCTTTCAAGCCTGCTGACTCAGTGAATAAACTTCATGGCTTTCAGAGGCAGGAAGGAACAGCAAATTACCTCGTCTGACCTGCTGTGTGACAGGCCAGGCACTGCATTCAGAAGCTAAAACCAGTTCCTGCTTTGGGCCAGACAAAACATTCTGAAAACAAGACTAAGCTGTTTGGTAGCACAGACAAGGGACACAGATGTCACCAAAGGTCAGAACTGATCAGACAAGACGTTCAG